CTCTGCCGTTCTTAGACTTTGTAACTGTGGGCTGCTTAGGAGTCCAGTACTGGACTTATGGACCATAGTCCTGTAGGCCTAAAATGCTGATATTTGGTAAGCATTTGTAAATGCTTTTGTATCAACCTGTTCTAATGTCTCATGAGTTTCTCCATGTTGACAGTACTCTTGCTGTCAGCAGGCAGACTGTGACAGGAATGCATTGAGGAGGTCATACCTTTCGTTACAATCTGCATGTAAATTGATGTAAAGTAGATCCAGGTTAACAAAGGCAGGAACTTAAAGAAAAGCTTTATTCTAGCTTTGGAAGTAATTTAAATTAAGTAAAGACTGTGTTAGTGTTCTAAACAGTGACTAGAGACCACAGTAATGTGACTTAAGTAGGGTTGAGTTGTAGAGTGCTGAAAAAACATTCAACTGTCATTTGTTCTCTTGATTTCAGGGGATTACATTTAAGCGCATAGGTGTTCCCTCTGCTACAGATGTAATTAAAGCTTCAAGTAATGATGCCAAAAAGTAAGTTTATTTGCCTGTTCTTAAAAGATGTCTAGAGGTCTTACCAACAACAATGCTGTTAATGCAAAGCTTTGTGGGATCAGACCTGTATGTGAGCATGCCTTTGCCTATGTTGTAAAAGTCAGCTGGTTTGCATGTGGATACTGACTTGCTTTTGTAAGATGGTATTAATTACCTTCTGTGTGCTTGAACACAGACCTTTTCATAGAACATAATGTTCTTTAAGTTATTGCGAAAATTAACCTTTATTTCTATAATCAGAAATCAGTAGCGGAACAGGGAATTACTGTCTCACAGATTTTTTTTTTTTTTTTTTGTCCACTCAGATGATCCAGTAGCAGTATGTAAAGAGCAATACTTAGTACAATGACAAATTACTCTGCAGTGATGAGGGTGTTGTAACCCCATCCCGTGTTCCTTTGTATCATTTTATTCTCAAGGGTTGTGTTTTTTATACCATGTAGCTCTGCTTACATTTGCTGTCCCGTTGGTGGAAATCACATACACAGACATTATTTTAATTAGCAAGCATTTGGCCAGTGTAAAGGAGATCACGGGTGTGATGTTGGGTTCACCGCATACTGAAAAATAGTGGGAACTGCTGGTGTACCAAAAATAGCATTGGAGAAGTAGTTGTTCTCAGTTTTCCATCTTGTTTTTGCTGCCTCTCCCAGAAATAACCAATTTAATCTGCTTGCACTGAGAGCAGGGAGTGCCTAGCCGCAGCCCAGCAGCAGGATTGTAGTGGTTTGCTTCTCCTCCTTGTGAAGTAAAAGCAAGGGATCCTTGGGTGTACTGGCAACACTTTCTTGGGGTACGGCCTTAAGAATGCTGATATTTTCATCTTCTCAGTGCTCTCAAAACATGCCACGTTGTACACCCCCAGTTTTGAACACATATTTCAAGAGGCTTGGCTTAATGAACAGAGGAGGTGGGTATTCAGCATCCTGAAGGTGCCGAGTTGAGTGAGTAGCAGTGAAGCGTAAGCATGATAGCCAAGGCTTTTAGAGATACTTCGTTCATCTGGAAAGCTGTCTGAAGTCTATGTCTTAAACATGACTGCACTTCACACTGGCCTTTACTGATCTTTTAAACTTTTGTCACCATGTAGGTTGTTGGAGTCCGTTCCTCCCTCTGCAGTAGACTACTTCAGAAAATCTGCTCAAGAGCTCATAGACGAGAAAGGGGCAGTTGCTGCCCTGGCTGCAGCTCTAGCCCATATTTCTGGGGCATCTTACATACAGCAGCGCTCCTTACTCAACTCAACTGCGGTAAATAACATTATACCTGTGTTAACAAGAAAGGATAAATGAATTGCTTGCATCCAGGCCAAATGTGCCATCTTCTCAGGCTCTTTCAGTAGGGTTTCTGAACAGCTGCTGTCCTCAGCTCTTGGTGTGTTGCTTGTTCCCTGACTGAAAGAAGCTCTTACAGGAAACCAGAGAAACTTGAAATCAGTTAGTAAATTTTCTTGTAATGAGAGTTAAAAGAATTTCTCCAGAGATCTAAGCAACAGAAGGCTTCGATTCTCTAAGAGAGTTTAGCTAATGACATTTTACAAGGTAATAGATTGGTTTGTGCTATTGTAGTTTTCCCTTCCCAGGAAGCTTTTACATTTCTGTCATATTTCAGGTAAGCCTAGCATGTGATTACCTTATTTCAAAGAGATCTTGGTGGAAGAAAAGTACAGCCCTTTCTTTTTCTGTCACACTGAAGGAGAACTTGGCCCAGTTCATTGCATGGTATCACAATTTTGGAAATAGCATGTGACTGAGCTGTGCTGCTTGTATCAGTTTGGAGGTTTTTTACCAGTTTTCTAGCGGTAACCTTATGTATGTAGCCAGAAGCAGACACACATTTATTCAATAAAATACAGAAATGCTATTGGCCTTTATATCCATGGGCAATCCTCAGTTAGATGGATGCCTTCAGCTTCTTAGGAGGCTTTTAGTTGCTTCACTTCTGGGAAGCTGATTTCTTAAGATTAAATACTACATTACAATAACAAGTTATTGTGTGGTTCATTAGTTAGTGAGTTACAGGCTGTCCAACTGTGTTCAGTCTTGTAAATGTTTTTCTCTAATTGTTTCCTGAAGGGTTTTGTGACCATGGTGTTAAAGTGTTCAGTAGAAGTGCATACCATGAGCTATGCCTGGCGGGGACTGAAAGAACAGCTTGGTGAGGCAGTAGATGACAAAATATCTGCAATGCGTTTCCTCAAGGGGAAGACGGTAAGAATGCCCAACCTTGGGGAAGGAGGGACTGTGTGTGTGTGTGCATATGTGGCCAGCTTTTGCAGTGTTTGAGGCAGGAGTTCTGAAGTACCAGTATAGGAATGTTGATTTCATCCTATCCCCACGCAATCTTATTTCTCAGAAAATGGTAAGCTCTCACGAGGCCCTCTGAAACTGCAGTTTATGTATACACTATTAAAAAACAAAGGCAGCATTGAAGCTGGTAGAGTGTTTTAAAAGACACTTACTTGGAGACATTGTTCCTAAATGATAATGCAGGAATTCTTTTCTTAAAAAATAGCATCAGAAATATGTATATAGTAGGAGTAGTTGTTGTGACCTTTATTCTTTCATTGTAAGCTAGTGCTGACACTATAAACCACTGCACTGGAAAGGCAGCTGTAGAGTAGGGCAGTGACTGACTGCCTGACCTGAGAAGTACAGCGTTCACCTGACTGTCAGCCTGGCTGCTGACGTGTTTGACACTTGTTTTCTGTGCAGGTGTGGGGCCAGATTATGCCTATTTTACTTTTAAGCAGACAGGCTGATTGCAGGCAATGCTGCTGTCAGCACAGAGCATTTGAAATCTGCGTTTTGTTTTGAGCTTTTGCGTTTTAACTGCTTTTTAAATTTGGCTTTTAAAAAGCTTCCCCCAAAAGACCATGCTTTCTGCCATTTCTGGTTTCTTCTGGATTCTACACTTAGCATGTATGAGTGATTGCAGGTGCTGCTCATCTGGAGTTGTGTGTGTCTGTTCTTGGATATATCTTTGGAAAACTAACACCTTTTTTTTTTTTTTGGTAGGGGGTGTGCTTTGATATCCCTGCTGGTGAACTGAGTAACATACAGGTATGTTTTTGTAGCCAGAATTGCGTTTGTAACCTGGTGATTTGGAAGTTGGTGATGGCCATAGATAGGATTGAATATAGGGTGGTTTGAGAGGATTGGGTTTGTGTTTTAATAAGGACGTTGCATAGACAACAGTCATTAGGAGCACAGCGCAGCCATTAGAAAATATCCTATCATGTTGCTTTCTCATTTCAGTTCTCATGATATTACCTGATTTTATTAAAGAAAATCCTATGTTCTTTGGCTACTCTGGGTTTTGACCTCCAGTCTATTTGAGAGATAACCAGTTGACTTCACTCCTTCTTGTCCCTTTGTGATTGTTTGTCCTTTGTCACAGAACTGTGAGTTGTCTCTTAAGAGGGATCTGTTGACTTACTTTGGCGTGTGCAGGATTTGTCTGGAAATACCTTAGCATTCAGTGTTGCTTTTAATTGATATAGGGTACCTTGGACACACCTGCAGGCACATGAAGTCTTGTTACATTGGTCTTGTTTCAGGAACAATGGAGGGACACCAGGCGCTGGCAACTGTCAGTGGCAGAGGAATTGCCTGAGCTGGAAGAATATTCTCAGGAGGCGGGACGAGGCTTCTTCAGGTTTGGAAGCGGGAGGCAAGGTGACGGCAGCTTCAAGAGAAACAACTGGTTTAAGAATAGAAACCAGGGACATGATGTTTAACAAGTCACTTGATTAACCTCTGGTGCAGATACGGGACTGAGCTGATTTTTATCGGAGAGTAAAAGGCTGTTAGACATTCCTCTTTGGCTATTTCTTGATAAAACACCTTGTCTTTGAGGATGGCTAAAAATCTTGTTTGCTGAACTGACTAGGTATTTCGGAAGGTTTTTTATTTTTTTTGCTCAGCGAACTAGCTGCTGCCATTTTCCGGCCCTTAAACTAAATGTCATACGCATCTCGGTGCAGGGGGGCGAGTGTTTCACTGGAAACTCAGCGCTGTGGAGGAACAACACTTTTCCAAACATGGACAGTTACCACACCTTGCCCGTTCAGCAACCCCTGCATTAAAAAAATCTGGTTCTAAGAGCTTTTTTCGGGAAAAATTTGTGATCCAAGCCCCTCAGCAGCCTTCCTCGAGAGCGTCCCACAGGCACACGGGCTCTGGTGGCCGCGGGGGTGCTCCTGCTTGCCTCTCGCCATCTGCTGATTTTTAATGCTTGGGACCGCTTTCCCTCAACCCCGCCACAGAGGCTGTGGGGGCAAAAAACGCTCCGGATTTGTAACGGCAGGAGAGGGGAGCGCCCGAGGAGCCTGCACCGCTCCCGCTGTGGCGGCAGGAGCGGGGCGGGGGGCTACGGGGCCGCTGCGGTCGCCATGACGGCGGGGCGGGAAGGAGGGGGGCGGGGCCTCCCGCAGCGCGGCGGTGATTGGCCGGCGGCGCGTCAGGCGGCGGCGCGCGTGACGCGGGGCGGCCGGCGGAGGGAAGATGGCGGCGGCGGCGGCAGGCGGCCGTTGGGCCGCGGTGTGTGAGAAGTTCCGCACCGCCCGGACGCTCTCGGCCGTGGAGTCGCGCAAGGACCCGGAGACCGAGCCCTACCGCTCCAAGTACAGCGCCCGAGCGCTGCTCCAGGAGGTCAAGCAGCTGCTGAGCGCCGCCGAGGAGGGCGGCGAGGCGCGGGTGCTGGCCGTGCGGCGGGCCGTGCTGGAGTACGAGCTGGGCGTCAACCACACCGACACCGAGGAGCTGTCGGCCGGCGAGGAGCACCTGCAGCGTTGCACGCAGCTCCTCCAGCCCCACCGCCTCTCCCCGGACTGCGTCTCCCTCTACATACAGGCCCAGGTGGGTGGAGGCTGGGGGGGCCGAGGAGGGGGGCAGTGGTGGGGTGCCCCGGCCTTGAGGGGACCTGGGAGGTGGTGGAAAAGGAGGGGGGTGCTGTGTCTGAACCCGGCTGCGTGGCCTCTGGGCTGCAAATAGGGTAAGGGAGATTCGTGGCACTTCAGTCTCCTGATGGGTATGGCTTCTTTAATAAACAGCAGCAGTCCTGGCGTTTCATTCTTGCTTGAAGAAGTAATTCGCAGGTGGTGACTGTGGAGGGATGCTCTTCTGTTTTAAGCTTGCTGCTGGTGCCTCTGGGCATGCAGAGCCTCTAACAGTGTGTTCTCTTAATAGAAGCTGGGTGTTGACAAAGCAGTGTACTCTTCAGGATAGACTGAGACAGAGCTTGTACGAACTGAGCAAGAACAAATTAGTAGAAGACCTCAGCATGTCCAGAACTTACTTGTGATTCCTTAACTGTCATTTGTTGTCACAGTAAAGTTGAGAGATGCTTTAATTTATGCAGTATCTTGAAAAGGTAAATTGTTCTCAAAAGTTGTCGCTCACCTGCTTGCTTTTCATCCTTGCCTGTTATCTCTTAATCTGTTATGTTTTCTTCCAGTTCAGTAAATAGTTCTGTGGGGCTAGAAGTACTAATATTCATCTCTTTATTCTGAAGAAAGTAATTCTGTTATCAAAATTAGTTCTTACCTATATGAAGATCCACAAAGAGCCTTTACTCAATTGCTCCATTGTCGCAAGTGGTGTATTGTTAGATATCTATCTCTAGACTTTAAGTGGAGCAGTTATTTAGATGTCTCTGTCAAAAAAGGCTGCTCTAATTAGAAAAGGCTTGGTAATACTTCCTTGTCAAGCATTGCAAAACTGTCAAGGAATTGTATGTTCATGTGGAAAGGCACTAGGTAAATAGTGACTTGTCTTACATTGGTTAAATTAACTGAGTTGTTTGGAATTCCTGAGGTTACATCTGCTCACTGTCCTTCAATGTGATGGTTTGGGAACACCAACACAAATGTATTGCTTATTACAAGATTGGAGATTGCTTCGGCAGCCAAAGTAAGATAACATCATACCAGTGTGTGTTCCTGGGGAGTTGTTGCTTATGTGGCTGAGGGCCCGGGATTCCACTGTAATTTTGATTTGGTGTTTTGGAAGGCAGTACTTCTCTCTTGGACAAATATTTGGGTGGGTTTTCCTGTTTTGGGGCCTTGAGGAAGCAGCAGGGTAAAGCTTCTGTGTTATGCATGTGAAGTGTCAAGGTCCAACAGGAACCAGGTCTGCTGTTGTCTGGCACTACCTTCAGTCATGCAGCTGAGAGCAGGGATGGTAAATGAGCATGCCTTCAGCTTTCTGACCCAAAGGCTGTAAAAGACTTGAGTATTTAATTAAAACCATTTCTGATATAGAAGAAGTAATTGTCAACAGTGGCTGTACTTCTCTGTGTTCAAGGATGTATAGAGTATGTTGTCATGACACTGACTTCTATTTTGAAAGAAGGAGCATTCCCTTTTCCTGCTGGGCCTGTTTCTGTAGCCCTATTTTTTAATTTCTGAGCTTCTGCATAAGGATGTGTATCATAGTTTCTGTCTAATTAAATTTGGTCCGTTCCACTGCTCAGTCGTGGGGAATGTATTTCTGTTCATAAACATGCTATGTGGTGCTTTCTTATAAAAATAATAAAATAAATGGAGTTGGAAGGGACACAAGGCTGGCATACTGCTACGCATTTCAACTCTTTTGAAGTTTGTTTCTTTTTTTTTTTCTTTCAGCCTTGTTGGATTTTGTAACAAAACTGCCTAGGAATTAAATTAGCACCTCAGATGTAGGTTGTTATTAATGCCTTCATCTTATTAATAAAATTAGAGGTACTGTTTGCATGTGGGAACCCACCTTTTACAGTAACGTTACTTTTAAATTTGAAGTCAGTAATCTGTAGCTTTTGCTTCTTAATGGTTCATCTCTTGTCATTGTTGAAGATATACAAGCATTCATTCCTAGCATATCTTTTTCCTGTTAAGTTTTTCTACAGAGTCCTGATGACAAATTTCTAGTTCATTGGCTCTTTTTATGATGTTTGTATATGATAGAAAATCTGCATTAATCAGATGCAAAACATACTGTGTGGAAAAAGCTTGTTATTTGAACACACCAGTCCTTATTTAGCAGAGTAAACACAGTAAGTTACAGTTTGTGAGGTGACTTTTATATGTATTTGCTGCTGTGTGAGAACCTTCTTTTTTGAGCAACTTGCAATAAAATGTGTGGGCACAATTTTTGCATTTTGAAATCCATTGTATTAGAACACATATATATAAGGATAAGGACTGGTAAATTGTTTGGAGAAAACATGTAACGTAAATGGAACATAATCGGAAAATAATTTGTTTCTCCTTTTACCTTTAGAACAATCTAGGTATCCTGTGGTCTGAAAGGGATGAAATTAAAACTGCGCAAACTTACTTGGAATCTGCAGAAGCCCTGTATAATCAATACATGAAAGAGGTACTGTGTTTATTAATATTGCAGCAGGTCTTGCTTTTGCATGCCACTTAGTTTTAGTAATCTTTGAAAAAAAAAAAAAAAAGAACATGATGGAATTGGAGTTTCTGTGTTTTATACTGGCTGATGTGACACTTGAAAAATGATATCATTTGTACTGCTAGCATAGGAAGAGGCAAGCTAGAGGTTCACTTGCTAATTTCAAAATGGACTTATTTAGGAAAATAATATTTTGCTCAAAAACAATGGTCCTTTTTGAGTTGATAGTCCAAAATTGAAGCCAGGTAGAATTTGGCTTCTAATTAAGACTATTCTTAATCTTGTCTTGGAAATGCTGTGAAATGTTAATCAATCACTTTCAATGCAGTGTTTGCGTGGTTTGCTCTGACTTAGCACAGTATTGCTTAGAGGCTAGTAGTTCCCTATTCAAGAGGACAATTTTATGAACAGCTAAACCTCTCATGCATATTAAACAACCTTCTGAGTTGTGGATTCTGCTGTGTTTTGACAAAGACTCCCTTGTGCTATTTAGAAGGTCTTTGCAAAGCTGTTCCTACACTGACTTGCCTCAGGGACAGTTGTCAGTGAGCTAAAAACATTTGTGACCTTAAAGGAACAGTATCTGTGTCTGAGGACAGCTATAAAGGTTGGACAGAACTTAGTTTCATGAAATTACAGCTCAGGTTTTACATGAAATTGGCTTATAACACAGATTATTCTCATGGAATTTTTAGAATGTCTTTTATTGGTTGGTTACTGCCATGTTCCCACCTTTGGAGCCATGCAGGTTTGCAGTGATAGGAGAGGTAATGGATCCAGAAGAAAAGCTGTTTGTGCTGAAAAGCTTGTCTATTTATTTTCCACTCTTTGGATCAGTTGGTCTAACTAGAGATACTACATCTCTCTACAGACACTCTCTCTAATTAATTCCTGATGTTTAGCTTGGGTATTTATACCCAGCCAAGTATGACATTATTGGCTTACACATTGACTCTCAAAGATTCTGGCACTTGATCTAGTGTTAATGAAATTGAGCTGGTACTACCATATATTTCAGTGGATTAAATAATGCTGCCAAATACTTCACATTTTCATTGTGGACTTTTCTGAAAGGGTTGATATTTTTTTTTTTTTTTTTTTTTTTTTTTTTAATAGTGGCTAGTGAATATTCCTCCTGGGACTTTGCTGCCTGACTAGGGTATACATAAATGACTGTCAATAAGCCCATATCAGTTCACTTGTCATGCTTTTTTTCCAAACTGTTTTTATTTGCCACTTATTTCAGGACATACAGCCAAAATATTTTTTTTTATTGTTATGTCTCTGTCTAAAGACTTTTTGTTTTAAAGAAACTACAGCAAAAGACTGTTTTTGTGGTGACTTCATTGAACTTCTGTCATGTTTCTTGGAAAATACTGAACTGTATTTGACAATCTGCAAATAATTAACAACCCCCCTTCCTCCCCCCCCCCCGAAAAACAAAACAAAAAACACCACAGGGCATGGGGGAGCTTGTATAACTGCTTTATGGTTTATAAAGAGGACTTGAGTTCCTTGCAGTGGTGTTTGATTTTTAGGATTTATACAACCATGTCAACATTCATTATTCATCAGTTATAAAAATGTGAATATACTTTTCCTAGCATTCCCCATTTTTAGGCTATCAGGAAGCCTTCTTGTCTGAGAATCTTCGGTAAACTGTTGATGATTGAGTCATTTTCATGAATTGGTGCATTTAGTTGTTTACTAATTGGATCTAGTTAACTTACAGATTGGGTGGGATTTTTTTTATTTTTTTCCCTCTAGAGCAACTAGAGAAAAACCAAGGCAATTGCAAGGATAAAATTATTTTGGTAGAGATAAAAGATTCTTTTACTTTCTGCTCCTGAATGCTTTGAGTTTACATATATTTTAGATTTCTTTTTTTCAAAAACATTATTAGCTACTGTAACAACATTTTGCTATTAGAAAAGCTATTTAATTGTTTCATGTTCTACCGTGAAAATCTGAGGGTGTTAAACTTTATGGCCAGGAGCTTGTGCTATTAAAACCCACTTGGAAAAGAGCATTGCAGAGCTTGTCCTAAGGATAATTAAAGGCATAAGGCTTAACATCAGAGCATGAATGCGTAGATACAGGAAGGAGGCAAGGGTCTTGCTTATGGTGTCATTTCAGTTGCTTTCTTTTCAGGAATAGCTCTAGACTTGCCAGAATATACTCCAAATCTTGTCAAAAGGTTTGGAAGCCTTTGTAAGGTTGTAAGCCTTGGTATCTAGCGAAAACAAGTTGAAGGGTTATAAATTCACATCTTAAACTAATGAGGTATAAACAGAAAACCCTAGAGATTAAAAGATCATATAAAAAAAATCTATGCCTCTCTGGTAAGTTAAACACACTTTTATTTATTTGTCACTATCAGTTTCAGACCCATCATTGAAGATGAATAAAACATTTCCATTAAAAGCAAATAAATAAATCCAGGGGTTTTTAATGAAAAGTAGTACAAACATGAGAATATGTTTTCTTCCCTATAAAGTGAATGCATTCGCTACCCTTGCTCCTGGTCCTGCCTGAGTCTGTATTAGGTTATGAAAAGGACTTCTCTAGACTGCTTTTTATTTGCTGTCTCATTTTCTCTTGGGTTTAAGAAATAAATGGTGTTAGGAAGGGGCTAGGGAAGTTACATACTAAACTGGGCTCTGCTAGCAGACGTTGAACATCCTTTAGGGTGCACTGTGTAACGGAAAAAAGCCACCTTTAGAAAGACACCTTCATTTGAAGTGGTTTAGACTTGGCATCTGAAGTTATTCACAATTACAAAGGAAATTAGATAAGCACGAACTAATAAAACTTTGCCATAAGGAATGTTAATCTGTTGGGCTTGCCAGTTACTCTGTCTCTAATGACAGTTGTTTTAAGGCAAAGTTGAACAGAGCAAGGCTGAAAGATAAATAGTTATCTGTATAAGGATTCTGATAGAACTCATGGTTTAAAAAAACAAAGAAAGCACTTCTAAATGAAGTAGTTCATATCATTAATAACTTGCATGTAGGTCATGCCTTATATCAAGGTTTATTAGCTTCATCTTCCAAAGGCATTGCCTGGTGTCTCTTTCATATATTTGAGTAGTCTTACCAGCTTGTGAATAAAGGGAGTAATTTCACAGTGGTAGGTCTTTACAGCAGGTCTGCTGAGCACTCTCTGCACATAATGTTCTTTGCAGTACTTCCTGCAGGATGTTTTCTTGTTACTGATTAGTGCAGCTGGGCAAATTAAAATTTCACACTTGAAGGCATGCCTAGCATTAAATTGATACTTTAAACACCATTATGTTATTGTACAAAATAAAGACACCCGATTACAGTCCTGTAGAACCCAGGTTGAGTGTTTCTGGTGCAGACAGCATGAGTTACTTTAAAATATGTAAGCAGAAGTCTCCTACAAGCCGAAAACCTTGTAATTCCATGTGAAGTTGTGGTTTTCATCCTCTAAATCTCCTGAGTTTTGTGGAATTGCTCCAGAGATGTGGCATTGAGATAGGTGTAGATGCATTATGTGAAGTTTTGTTGAATTTGGGATTGAAAAATGGTAAATCGTCGGCAGCCAGAAGAGGGAGCACTGTGTTATGAAGTCAGAGAAAGGCCGTTTACTGAATATACCATGAACCCTTGCAGGATGGAAATCCTCCCCTGGATCCCAGTGAACATTTCATGGCAGAAGAAGAAAAACTCACAGACCAAGAAAGATCTAAAAGGTGGGTGTGTAGCAGCATACCTTGATTATTATTACCTTAATTTATGAGGGTGTATTTAGGGAGGAAAAAAGAAAGAACAAATCTAAAGAGACTCTTGTCTTTTCCAGATTTGAGAAAGCCTATACACATACTCTATATTATCTGGCACAAGTCTATCAACACCTGGAGATGATTGAGAAGGCTGCTCAGTATTGCCATACTACTCTTAAACGACAGCTTGAGTACTGTGGCTACTACCCAGTAGAATGGGCACTCAATGCTGCTACTTTGTCCCAGTACTATCTCTCTAAGGTAACATAACTAATGTTTTTCTGTTGTAATTATATTGTAAATATACCTATCAAGTAAGACAATTGTTTAACTAGCTGTTTGAGACAGGGCTCCATGTTGAATTAAAAATGTGCTCCTGTAAAACCATGAGTTGTCTTCTGACATGAAACATCTGTTAGTTTTTTCCTGTGGTGTTGTGATGATAATGGGAAAAACGAGCAAGGGTGTAGATGTAAGAAAAACTCTATAGTTAATGAAGAATCAGCAGTGATGTGACGTGATGTTCATAAGTAAAACTTTAAGGTTACCATAACTTAATTTGAAATTGTTTCTTATATTGTTCCCTTACAACAGTTTCAAAACAAAACCATCTGAGGGCCAAGGTATTGCACATTGTATTTCCCATAAATTACTGTCCTTTGTACCTTGGCATGTGCTTAAGACTTGTTTGAGCCCATGTAAACATTAAAGCGAATATCTAAGGTGGTAGCTGTTTGTTTCCAGACATCTGTTAGGAAATGCATCAGCTTTATTTAGGAATTTCTGTATTCCAGACACTTCACATGCGCTTTTCTGATGCTTATTGTAATTTCCATGTCTCTTTGCATTAGTAGCACTAATCATTAAACTACGCACTGCCAAATATGAGTAAAGGAATCTAAATCTGACTCACGGTGTTGAGTCCATTGTTGTATGTCCATTTCATTCCGACTAACACCCTGTGATACAATCTTTAACCACAAGACATCACTTCCTTTACCACAAGGAAGTGATAATAGCGTAGATGAGAACAGTGAAAATGTTTACAATGTATGTATCTAATATTAAAAGCAAGGCTTACTGTTGTGGCTGTGGTAGAGAGAAAATGGTTATTTAGAAAATACTGTATTCAGTAGTAGATGTGGGAAAATTGGGTCGTCTTTTCCAGTGTCCAGGGCAATATGCCCCAGAGCCTCTCAGTTTTGCCATTTCCCTTGTGTTCATGTATCTTTACTATCTGAGGCCGAGGGGTTTAGCCAAGCTGAGAGCAGTGCTTGGGCTGCTTATACCCGTGACAAATGCTGCTGTTTCTGTTTCTCTCAGCAATGCTTTATGGAGTCCCGACACTGTTTAGCAGCAGCCAGTGTCATCTTTAGCCAAGCTGAACAGGTGCCCACTGCTGAAGACAGTAAGTGCATATAAAAATTTTGAATAAAATATTGTGAATTAAGCACCGATACCTGATGTTAAAAGTCAAGTCTAGCAATATGTACAGAACTTATCCCAGTGTTAAAATCTTTTTAATTAACAATAAAGTGGAACATTTCTGAAGAGCTGCTGCTATTACTACAGCTCAAGATTGGCTGTGAGCAAACCCTGTGAGAAAAATTCGACTGCTTGTAGCTGGTGTTTCAGAAAGCATACCAGAACAAAAGTGAAATTTAAAACAATATCCACTTCAGTAGTGGCAATGTCACTGTTCATCCATTTGTCCTTGTACGTGTGCTTAAAATGCAGTTTACTTTTGATTCTCAGTGATCAGGGGACAATGGTTCAATGAACTGAGATGTTTCCTGGGAATAGTTTTAAAGGAGGGAGACTGCAGCTCTTAAAAAAGCCAAATCCAGAAGGTACTTGCATTGTCTTTTGTTGCTGGATGCTGCAGCCTTAGTAGTGGCTATTTTTGGAGTTGTAGCTGCCCTCCTTGTTTTGGGTATTGATGCAGAGGAACAACTTTGTGGTTCAATGTGAAGATCAATAAAAGGAACTTGTAGAGAACTGACCACAGTTTTAAGGACCTGTGGTTACATGATAGTGTCAGTACTCAGTGTAAGTCCTCTGTTTTAGGCTTAACCTTTGCTTTTCCACAACCCAGCCTTTTATGTTCTGTGTCTTGGGCAACTGAAAGCTTCAAATCAATAGAGCTTCAACTTGTGGAGAGTGAACAAGTACTCGGGGTAGCCCCTGCGTGAGTTCATAACTCTGACTTTGAACAGTGACTATGCTGGTTAACCTTTAATGGTTTGAGATGTTTAGAACACAAGCTCTTTAATCAGCTGATGTTGCTATTGCAGGCTAAAATATAACCTGAGTAGACACAACTGAGTTTTATTTAATTGAAGTTCAGTGACAGTACGTTAATTTCATTGCTTTTAGTATTTCTCTTAGCCCAAAAATATAGAACTCTATGCAGTTGCCTTTCTTATTGTTAAGTACTTTGAGGATGATGTCCAAAAGCTTTTTAGTTTCAGGGAAACAGGGCTGTCAGTCATCAGGTTATGCTAATCTGTTAGGCTGTTTGAAAAAAGATTCAGTAGGTCTGAATTGGTGTTTATGGCCTTCCATAGCTACCTGGCTGCATAGCTGTCAGAGTTCATTAATGTGATTCTTAACTCGAAAATGAGGTTATGTTTTTGGTAGGTGTGTAGAACCATACAGTCAGTTCTGGTCTCAAATTCAGGTGCAAGACTGGAAGTGGTAGATAAGAACCCTATTTTTAATTGTACTTTATACATTTCTTGTGTGATTTTTGGTCAAGTTAACTAACCTTCTATCTTGGCTTCCTCCTCCACCAAAGAGGAGTAGTTATATTTGTGTTTCAATTAAGTAAATGCTTATCCTATTCGCTTCCTTTTCACGGTACAGAGAGCTGGGCTGTGGACTTGAAGATCATTATGCAGAAAGTTCTAACTTACAGAAAGACTAATACACAGTCACCGTTGTCCACTCTTGAGCATGTTCATTTTATCATGTTAGTTAGAATATAAACAAATGCAGAGATATTTAGTAAAGGTGAATTTTCTTAAATTAGCAACAGTTCTTATTTCCTTAATAAGAGCAACTCGATTGGTTCTGATGAAAGATAACGAATGCAGTGGATCTGAGTTTGAAGCTAGATTTTTATTTGGTGAACAAGAACACTAGCGTCCTCTCGTTGTTCAGCTAATTCACTGCCTTCTGCCAAGAGACTGGGAAATGAGTTCTCTTTGAAATCCATTTGGTTTCTGAAAATGTTATCTTGAGACATCACCAGTGCTGCCACTTATGACAGTGGGGAGACAAATACAGAAGTAGTAGAGCTAATAAATCTTATGTTAGTACCAGGTAGATTAACCAAATGCAGCTTCCCCTACTTTTGTTCCCTTTTTTGATAGCAAGTCTGGGGCCCGTTGCAATACAAATGCCCTCATCATCCTCAGAAACAATTACTGGACAGGCAGATGAATCTCAGTAAATGCAGTATCCCGATTTCTTTCTCTTGCTACAAAGAGACGTAAAAACCTTTTCCAGTAAAACACTTTCAAGAGCAAAGATCTTTTTAAACGTATGTTATGATCTGGTTTTTTTGTAGAATGCAGGCATGACGAATCCATGTTAATCTATATTGGTTTCTACAAGAGTGACAGTTTACAGGATTATAATCTAAACTAACATGGAGAATATGTTTCTGTCTGACAGTGAGGAAAAGTTAATTACAAGTAACATATTCTTTGCATGTAGCATTTGAGGTTCTTGCTGGAGTGCTCAAGTCCTCTTAAAGTTTTCATGTGTTTATGTCCATTCAATAGATGAAATAGAGCAAGACCAACAGGACCTTCGACAGAGAAAGGCTGAAATTGCAAGGTGCTGGATTAAGTATTGCCTGAATCTCCTGCAAAGCGCTCGGAAATTACTTGAGGTAACGGAAAATCTGTTCTGTAACTGTCATCGTTTAAAAACAAAGTCTGTTTTGACGTTTGTGACAGGAATCAATTCACAGTTGGTAGCAAGTGGTAAGCAGTTGCCCAGTGAATAATACAGTAGAGGCTTGCAATGTAGCAAGTGTCTGATAGTACGCTTAGACATCAGTGCAGCGCAGATAGATCAGCTCTGTAGAGGGATCAATACACTGCTGGTACCGCAACTTCACAAATTTCCATCCTCTCTGCTGCATTTTCTTGCAGCTTGATTTGGCAGGTTATTTAACTGCTAGTAAGAACATCGTGTTAATATGCAACAGTTTTGTGTGCTGGTGTTCTCATTCACTCAAGCGTTCATTTAATTCATTTAAGCATTCATCTCAATGTTTAGAACAGCATTTGCTGAAATGCCTTGCTGAAGCAGGGCCTTTGGGCTTTGCATTACTGTTTTGACTATATTGTCACAGGATGGGGGGGAGACTAAATTATCTTAGTCTTACGTTTTTACAGAATCGAGACTGTAATTTACATGATTTTTTTGTGAATATAAGTTCTAACATGCTAATGTATCTTCTCTTCTGTCTTGTTGCTAATTAGTTTGTATTTCAAAGGTAACTCATAAATAAAATGATTCAGTCTAAGTCTCTCTTTGTAAGCCACGTGCATTTTTAATTAGTATGCTGTGTCATTTCAGGATAACATAGGAGAGCTGGATCCAGACAGGCAGTTGGAACTTAAAGCCCAACGGAAAAAAGAAGAGGATGAAAAAGAGAAGGGCAGGAAAAAAGCTGTCCTTTTTGGGACGAGTGATATATGTGACTCTGTCTTAGCCATGGAAGAGAAAGTGAGCAGTGTATATCCTTTAGATTTTCAAGAAGCCAGAGAAATCTTCCTAGTTGGTCAGAACTACGTTCAGGAAGCAAAAGAGTTCTTTCAGGTTGATGGTTATGTTACTGACCATATTGAAATTGTTCAGGATCACAGCGCTTTGTTTAAGGTACTCGCTTTCTTTGAAGAAGACTATGAGAGGCGCTGCAAAATGCACAAGCGTAGAATAGACATGTTGGAGCCTATATGTGGAGACTTGAATCCTCAATACTATCTGTTGATTAGTAGGCAGCTTCAGTTTGAGCTAGCTGACACCTATTATGAGATGATGGATTTAAAGGTAGCTATTGGTAACAGGTTAGAGGAGCTCGACTCCCACACAATTAAAAAAATAAATTCTCTGGCTCAGTTAGCAATCAAATATTATGAACTCTTCTTAGATTCTTTGAGGAACCCAGATAAGGTGTTTCCTGAAGAGCTCGAGGAAGATGTTCTTCGCCCTGCAATGGTGGCTAAATTTCATATTGCACGACTATATGGTAAGCTTATTACTTCGGATAGCAAAAAGCAACTGGAAAATATGCAGACTTCATTGGAATATTACACATTTCTGGTAGACTATTGTGAAAAGTATCCAGATGCTGTCCGTGCTGTTGAAACTGAACTAGAACTCAGTAAGGAGATGGTGGGTCTCCTCCCAACAAGAATGGAGAGATTAAGAGCAAAACTGTGTCCGTTTATATAAATAATTGCCTTGAAGGAAATATGCGCTATTAAAACGGTATCTGTCAAAACCAGTGCTGTCGGACAGCTTCTGTCCTGCTTGGGAGAACTAAGGTGTCTACAGTTTGGCAGTCCACCTAGAGCGTCAGTAGTGTAACTTTTGTGAAAAACACAGAGCTCTTTCCGTTCAGTAGCTCACCCACACTAATGGTGTAAACTTTAAATGTATAGTGAATGTCCAGCTGATGCTTTGTATTGCTTGTCCTGTATGTAAATATAAACCTTTTCTCCCATATGTTTTTTTTCTTTCAGCATATGGTTCAGTTTCTAAATGTAGTGCTGTATAAAAACTGTTTCTTTTAAGAGAATCTGTTTCTCTAGGAAGATTTTTCTAAGAAACCTGAGGCACGTTCTTCCAACCAGAATACATTTTATCTCTTTTAACCTTTGTTCCCAGAAAACTTTATCCATATGAAGGGAACTTCGTTATTTTCAATATCTGTTTCGTAAATTGCTTGGTGTTTTCTTTTTTTCCCCTGTTAATCAAAACCTAGTTGTCAGAGGCTCAATAAATGGCTAGCTTGGCTAAATGCTTTTTCAGAGTTCTTGGAAGTCTGTTTCCTTGTGTGTAAGATAAGATATGCGTTACATCTTTGGCCAAAATAAATAGTTGTGAAACTGTTTCCACGTGAATATCTTAAGTAAAAACGTGAGCAATTGAAGTGCCAGAACCAAGAGCAAGAAAGCGGCAAACTTTCTAGCACGTGGTGGGAGGAGATACTCTGCTCTTCAAACACTGGAGAGAATTCACAGGTTGGAGGTGCTGTGCTCTAGTGCTCCCAACAGTTGCCAAACGCAGCTTAAAGGCCTGGGATGCCAGGGATGGCTTCTTACCTTGTGTTGTCAGGGAGCCCGGGTGCTGTCTTAGCAGGGGCCTCTCTGAAGCTGCTGCACATCCCAGCGCTGCCGAGGCGCTATTCAAAATCTGCCTGGGCGCCACCCCATCGCTGACTTCTCTACCAAAGCTGTCCTGATTGTCATTAAGGACCTGGTGATCTGGCAACGTTCCTGGTCTTACACAACCTGTTACCTTTGCTTTGTTCTAATTTAGCTACCTATTTATTTTTCATGGAAGACCAGGCTGCGTTTCTGACCCCAAATAGACACAGAGGTTGTCTTTGTATTTCTGGTATCTGTAGAAGGATTATGAGCCAGGACCTGTTTTAGATAAAATGTAGGCTGAGCACATGGTCCAACCAGATTACTGTCAGATGCCAGAGCATATGGGGAAAGTGAAGTGACAAGGTGATGGGGTGCGCAGTGGTGTGCCACTCTGTACCAGCAGTCTTGCCACTGTCAAGTTCATGGGAAGATGTTTACAGCAATAAAGAGGAGTGAAGGACAATAGTCAAAATAACTGGATTCTTCCGGAAAACATGAGAAAATGAGGGGGGGGGAAAAATCATGTTAGTTTGAAGGGTGTGAGGGGGGGAAGCACACACAAGCAAGAAAGCGTGCACATCTCAAGCGTGTGGTAAAAATCTCTAGCTTGCAGAATTCTCTGCAGAACACTTCTAACCACAAACAAATAGGCCAACACATGGGTCCTCGAAGCGAGAGGCAGCAAAACTCAAAACTAGATCAGCTACCTGCATGCAAATAGAATAAGGGAGAGAGCGTGTGCACATGCGTGTGTGTGCTGTTTCTGTTTTACCAAATAATTGTCTATTTAGCCTTTAGGAGTTTCTTTTCTGCTTTCAGACCTTTAATTCAGTTTTTCCCGTGGCCTGTAGTTTCTCAGTGAAACAGTTCTCGGTGGGTTGTATTGCGCATTATTTTCATCTGTGATTTCAATTAAAGGTAGCGTGTGCTTTCACCATGAACTCATAATTTGAAAGTTAATTTTTTTTTTAGCTTCATATTCATAGTAGAGGAAGGTGATATGTGTTTGAGGTTGGTTGTTTTTGATTCTCTATTTCAGTATTCCACCTGTGAGGGCCTTTGAGCAAATTTTTTAGAGCCAGGATTGGCTCACCAAACTTAGTTCATTTGTAATTTGGGGAAGGATAGATTGTGGGTTATCCCAGCATACAAACTCATTTTGCCTTTCCCTGTTATATCCTTCAGATACTGGTCTGGAGCAAGTATTAGAAGTTACCTGTAAGGTAGGCAAAGCTGAGTGAAGTGCAGGGCGATGTGTCCCTTTTAACCAGCAGTTGTGTGCGGAGGAACACCCTGGATTCACTGAAATCCCAGTGAGAGTCCAGCAGACAGGTAGGAGCGGGTCCGTTGTTACGAAGGCCCGGGAATAAGAGGGATGGGAGCTTTTTCAACACAGCTGTGTGGTCGGTGCCGTGGTTTGGAGACTGCTCTCCTCTGGAGACGTCCCAGAACGCTTCAGCTCTGCAGCGATTCTTAAAAACCGTGCAATACAATGTAAATACATTTCATATAAATGCATACAGAGTTACAGAAACCAGCGATGCCAACTCTTCATTTCCTATAGTAAAGGTTCAAGACTACCACCAGCGAAGTATGCTTTATTACTGGAAACTATATTGTGCCAGGTGCTCAGCACAACACACTATGTTGTGGTTTTTCTAAGACATGTTTTTTTAAGGATGAATAATTCCTGTTTGTTCAATAATTTGAGAGAATGAATTTAAGTAAGATTGTGTATTTAGTTAAAAAAAAAAGGGGAAGGAGCTGGTTGGATTAGGCAGCAAAGCTCCCTTCAGGAATGTTGAGTTTTAACTGTAAAGTATGTGTAAGGTCAGGCATTTATTTCAAAGATTAATTAAAGATTAGGTTCCTGTGAACTCCATTTAACCTGCTTTTCTATTCCTTTTTGTACAGCAAAAAAAAAATCTTACAACTGAAACCTCCTTTCTGTTGTTCCGCTAGTTTTTTTCTCCCTACCCAGCATAAAGCAGCGATGTTTACAACAAGCCCACATTTGTGCAGAATTCATATCAAGTGCGAGATCTGAACTTGGAGGCTGTAACCTCAGTGTACTTCTTCAAATAGTGGATAATACGAGAAGTAATTTGGTTTAATTAAAAACATAGTTTTGTTTTAATTGAAATGCTCTTAAGTCTCTTGCTAGCTAGAGACATAGTATGTATCATAAAATGAGTCAAGCAGGGAGGTTGTGCTGTGTTTAAATATTTCAGCAGAGAAAGAAACCAGTGCCTTGTTCTCTGTCTCTCCCTACCAGTTCATCCAAGGAGGGAGGCTCGCTCTGTTTTTTCCCTTGAGGGGACCAGACTGGAGGAGAGTGGCAGGAGGTGACAGCCCCTTGTCCTTTGCTGTTCTCCCCTCTTAAGCCAGCTGAAATACGAGGGGAAGCGGGCAGAAGCAAGCCCGCACTTCTCCTTCGCAGCAGGAAAGCGGGTCCCTCATGTTGCAAGGCGGGCAGCCAGCGGCGGTTGCTGCCTCGGCGTGGCAAAAGCAAAAGGTCCCCAGGCTGGTTCGCTCTGTTCGCCCACCCGAAAACTCCTCTGTTGGGAATTTTGGTCCTGCCGTGGCACAGGCTCCCGTGGTCCCGGCGAGGCGGATGGTTTCCTTTATCTGCAAAATGGAGAGGGTGTCAATGTATCGGTGCAGCGCTTGCGCTGGGTGTGATTGCTGCTGCACTTCCACGTCCGGAAATATTGCGGGAGCCTGATTAAGCTCGACATCAGACAATGAGAAACAAGACTGATCTTGTTAACGCAGGGCTTTACGCATCTCAGTTTTGTCTGGTGTTTTCCTTTTGCTTAGCACTGCGAGTGAAGATGACCTTTAATTTTGTGTTTCTTTAAAAAGACTGAGATAGTGGGTTGTTACCTAGATGTTTCCCATGGAACTTTTTGTTATAAAATGCCCAGAAATAGTGCTGTGAAGGAGGACTTGGCTAGCCTGGCAGCTCATGAGGCAAACCCTTCTGTAGTCTTGAAGTTACAGAACTAAAGACTGTTATGTTAAAATCAAGTGTGTAAAGGTGTAAAGTTGTGGTGAGAAGTATTTGTCAACTTTCTTTCCTCTTCAGTTGCAACATCTTTGGCTACTTTAGAGCTCGCTGCAAGTGACTAATGCAGATTTAAAATTTGGTTTGAAAACTGCTTTTACGTACTTCCCAGGAACTCTATCCAAAGTGCCTGCTAGTACTTTTTAACTGCAGTTTCACTGGTGGTTTCTAGCTCTTCCTTGTCATGGGTAGGCGTACAGTCAGCGGTTTCCTGACAAGGACTACTTGCCTGGCTGCCTTTTTTTTCCAAACCCATTGTACTAGTCTGTCTTTACAGCTGAAAATCTGGACAACGTGCCAGAGAGACTGTCAGGCAGAGGGGATACTAAACACAGCATGTTTTGCAAACATATTACTTGCCTTTCAGAACAGAAAATCTCTATGATATCGAGTGTTTGTTTAGAGAGAAGTGACTGATGACAATGTAGTCCCTTAATGCCAAATCCCTTAATTCAGGTGTTTTTAGCAATGTTTTAAATGTTTAGTGCTGGAGTTTTTGGCATTTGGTATGCACGAAATACTTAAAGTGTTCTTACATGCTTGTTGCTGTGAAAGAGGCTTACTACTTGGAGTCAGACAAGGATGCAAGGATTTCACTATTTAAGTTTTTTAATACAATTTTCTGATGAAACAAAGAGGAATTGGATGAGTGAGTGAGTGCAAAATCGCAATGGGCATGTGATGCATGTGATGGAGTGAGCTGGTGTTAGTCACTGAATACCGTAAGAGGAGTACAAGTGCTTGCGTCAGCTACTCTGAGATCTGTTGGGGAAATGTGTGGGGCCAAAAAAAAAAATAAAATTTACAGGAATTAACACGATGATTTCCCGTATGCTGTTTTGGAGGGGAGCAAAAGCAAGCGGTTCCCAGGTAGGGTCTTAAACCACTCTGTTGGCCATGAAATCCATCCTGCTCTCCTGGAGCCCATCTCTGGATAGCCAATAGGTTCAGCAAACTCCAGAGAAGCTTCACAGCAGCCCACGAGAGGATGTAATCAGGCAGGCCGGGAGCGTCCTTCTGCCAGAAATCCAGGCCTTTTTAAATAACAGAGGGAGGGAGTGACACCCTGGAAGTGATGTCTAGTATAGACAAGGAGACAGAAATGGTGATGCTGGATCCGATTGCCAGCATGGGGGCTGCAGGCTGCAGGCAAGGAAGGGACGAGAAAGCACCACATAATCTCCTGCCAGCAAAACTTACTCCGAACCCCAAATGTTTACTGATGGTTTGTGCGTGGACACTTTGGGCTGATGAGTGTCGCACACTGCGATCCATCCTGCCTGTCCACATCTGGAACTTTTGGCAAATAACTCTCAAATCCTTTTTAACTTCTCCATGTCCTTCGACTTAATGTTTTCTTACGGCACCGAGCTGCCGGTGTTACATGGAGCTTGTGGAAAGACATACTTCGTGCTCCACGCCGTAGAGGCACAAGGTATTGCAAGTGCAAGGGTCTTGTGAATCTTACCTCCCTGGTCAGCCTGGCCTGGTTTCCACGCTGCACTCTTTGCTGGAAAAGTTAGATGAGATGAATCTTGCCCCAGGCTTCTGCCTGACGGAGTGGAGTCCTCTTCTGCACTAGAGATTAAAAAA